TGCTGGCACTCACATATCAACAATGTTATGAGTTATTTTTCAGAGTCGGATTTGTCAGGCACTCACAAAGATCATCAATTTTATAATAATGACTAGTGTTTTAATTATGTAATAACTGCACTATACGTATAAACCAGTCCTAGTAAACAGATCTGTGGTCAACTGTTACACAACAGTCATTCTGTGGACCCTTTTCCTAGTGTATCCCAGGATTATAAACTGGGTAGTTTGGGTCCTGGATGCTGATTGGCTGAAAGCCGTGCTTTATCAGACAATATTTTGTATTTATTATGGATCCCCATTAGTTCCTGCCAAGGCAGCAGCTACTCTTCCTGGGGTTTATTATGGATCCGCATTAGTTCCTGCCAAGGCAGCAGCTACTCTTCCTGGGGTTTATTATGGATCCCCATTAGTTCCTACCAAGGCAGCAGCTACTCTTCCTGGGGTTTATTATGGATCCCCATTAGTTCCTGCCAAGGCAGCAGATACTCTTCCTGGGGTTTATTATGGATCCCCATTAGTTCCTGCCAAGGCAGCAGCTACTCTTCCTGGGGTTTATTATGGATCCCCATTAGTTCCTGCCAAGGCAGCAGCTACTCTTCCTGGGGTTTATTATGGATCCTCATTAGTTCCTGCCAAGGCAGCAGCTACTCTTCCTGGGGTTTATTATGGATCCCCATTAGTTCCTGCCAAGGCAGCAGCTACTCTTCCTGGGGTTTATTATGGATCCCCATTAGTTCCTACCAAGGCAGCAGCTACTCTTCCTGGGGTTTATTATGGATCCCCATTAGTTCCTACCAAGGCAGCAGCTACTCTTCCTGGGGTTTATTATGGATCCCCATTAGTTCCTGCCAAGGCAGCAGCTACTCTTCCTGGGGTTTATTATGGATCCCCATTAGTTCCTGCCAAGGCAGCAGCTACTCTTCCTGGGGTTTATTATGGATCCCCATTAGTTCCTGCCAAGGCAGCAGCTACTCTTCCTGGGGTATATTACGGATCCCCATTAGTTCCTGCCAAGGCAGCAGCTACTCTTCCTGGGGTCCAGCAAAATTAAGGCAGTTACACAATTTTAAAAACATTACCATACATTCACAACATATTTCACAGCACATTAAGTGTGTGCTCTCAGGCCTCTACTCTAATACCACATATATACAACACAAAATGCATGTGTACATGTGTGTATAGTGTGTATGTTATCGTGTGTGTGTATGCATGTGTCTGTGCCTGTGTGTGTCTCTTCAGTCCCCGCTGTTCCATAAGGTGTATTTTTATCTGTTTTTGAAATCTGATTCTACTGCTTGCACCAGTTACCTGATGTGGAATAGAGTTCCCTGTAGTCATGGCTCTATGTAGTACTGTGCACCTCCCATAGTCTGTTCTGGACTTGGGGACTGTGAAGAGACCTCTGGTGGCATGTCTTGTGGGGTATGCATGGGTGTCCGAGCTGTGTGCCAGTAGTTCAAACAGACAGCTCGGTGCATTCAACATGTCAATACCTCTCACAAATACAAGTAGTGATGAAGTCAATCTCTCCTCCACTTTGAGCCAGGAGAGATTGACATGCATATTATTAATATTAGCTCTCTGTGTACATCCAAGGGCCAGCCGTGCTGCCCAGTTCTGAGCCAATTGCAATGTTCCTAAGTCCCTCTTTGTGGCACCTGACCACACAACTGAACAGTAGTCCAGGTGCGACAAAGCTAGGGCCTGTAGGACCTGCCTTGTTGATAGTGCTGTTAAGAAGGCAGAGCAGAGCTTTATTATGGACAGACTTCTCCCCATACTAGCTACTGTTGTATCAATATGTTTTGACTGTGACCGTTTACAGTCCAGGGTTACTCCAAGCAGTTTAGTCTCCTCAACTTGCTCAATTTCCACATTTGTTTATTACAAGATTTAGTTGAGGTTTAGTGAATGATTTGTCCCAAATACAATGCTTTTAGTTTTAGAAATATTTAGGACTAACTTATTCCTTGCCACCCATTCTGAAACTAACTGCAGCTCTTTGTTTAGTGTTGCAGTCATTTCAGTCACTGTAGCTGACGTGTATAGTGTTGAGTCATCCACATACATAGACACACTGGCTTTACTCAAAGCCAGTGGCATGTCGTTAGTAAAAATTGAAAAAAGCAAGGGGCCTAGACAGCTGCCCTGGGGAATTCCTGATTCTACCTGGATTATGTTTGAGAGGCTTCCATTAAAGAACACCCTCTGTGTTCTGTTAGACAGGTAACTCTTTATCCACATTATAGCAGGGGGTGTAAAGCCATAACACATACGTTTTTTTCCAGCAGCAGACTATGATCGATAATGTCAAAAGCCGCACTGAAGTCTAACAAAACAGCCCCCACAATCATTTTATCATCCATTTCTGTCAGCCAATAATCAGCCATTTGTGTAAGTGCTGTGCTTGTTGAATGTCCTTCCCTATAAGTGTGCTGAAAGTCTGTTGTCAATTGGTTTACTGTAAAATAGCATTTTATCTGGTCAAACACCATTTTTTCCAAAAGTTTACTAAGGGTTGGTAACAGGCTGATTGGTCAGCTATTAAAGGGGGCTTTACTATTCTTAGGTAGCGGAATGGTCTTGTATGTCTTCCATTTCCTAATAATTGCTCCCACAGTTGATTTCTTCAAACCAAGCTGCTTACCTATTGCAGATTCAGTCTTCCCAGCCTGGTGCAGGTCTACAATTTTGTTTCTGGTGTCCTTTGACAGCTCTTTGGTCTTGGCCATAGTGGAGTTTGGAGTGTGACTGTTTGAGGTTGTGGACAGGTGTCTTTTATACTGATAACAAGTTCAAACAGGTGCCATTAATACAGGTAACGAGTGGAGGACAGAGGAGCCTCTTAAAGAAGAAGTTACAGGTCTGTGAGAGCCAGAAATCTTGCTTGTTTGTAGGTGACCAAATACTTATTTTCCACCATAATTTGAAAATAAATTCATAAAAAATCCTACAATGTGATTTTCTGGAGAAAAAAAATCTCAATTTGTCTGTCATAGTTGACGTGTACCTATGATGAAAATTACAGGCCTCTCTCATCTTTTTAAGTGGGAGAACTTGCACAATTGGTGGCTGACTAAATACATTTTTTCCCCACTGTATGGCAAAAAGGAGTGGCAATATTGTCCACTATTATCCTCAGTAATTCTCCATCCAAGTTGTCAGACCCCGGTGGCTTGTCATTGTTGATCGACAACAATACTTCTTTCACCTCCTCTACACACACTTTACAGAATTCAAAATTACGATGCTTGTCTTTACTAATTTGTTCAGATGTACTTGGATGTGTAGTGTCTGCGTTTGTTGTCATGTCATGCCTAAGTTTGCTAATCTTGCCAATGAAAAAATAATTAAAGTAGTTGGCAATATCAGTGGGTTTTGTGATGAATGAGCCGTCTGATTCAATGAATGATGGAGATGAGTTAGCCTTTTTTCCCAAAATGTAATTTAAGGTGCTCCAAAGCTTTTACATTTTGCAGACGCTCTTATCCAGTGCATCCATTATTTTTTATTATATATATATTTGTTTCATACTGGCCCCCCGTGGGAATCGAACCCACAACCCTGTCGTTGCAAACGCCATGCTCTACCAACTGAGCTACATCCGGCCATTCCCTCCCCTACCCTGGACGACGAAGTTATCTATAAAAGTGATGCCAACAGGGCTACAGTAGTATTTTAGTGTGTAATGCTAAATCTTTCACAGCTGACGATGGTACTGGACCTGAAATAATTGGCCTCTTTTTGGAATCTTTCGGAGCTAGAATCAGTTCTTTAAAATCAATTTTTTACCAGTCCTCCTGATGTCGTTTGACCCCACAGTGTCTCTGTGCGTCTCCCAAAAGGTTGTAAGTCTTTTGGGATTTAAGTAACAGACAGAGTCTCGATCTGCATAGTCAGAATTCTCAATGAATAAATCTAAAAAGAGTCCATCTTTTATACTCATACGTCATACAAAAAAATCCCTCCCCTCTATAGGTGGGCTGTAGTTTTCCACTCTAAAACCGCTCTCCTGACCATCAGTTCACACACACACACACACACACACACACACACACACACACACACACACACACACACACACAAGCCTAACAGTTTCTCTACTCCCTAAATTCCTCAGTTATCAGTTGTCTGTAGCCAGTTCTCCTTGTTTTTTGTTGTCTGGTCTAACTCTTACTCACATTGCTAAATAGTAACACAATGTCATAATCTTTACTACACTCACACATTCTAACATATTTCACACAGTTTCAGGGTGTAATAATTAGTTATTAATAATGAATCTATCAATAACCAGTTTATAACACCAGTACGGCACCTCGGGGGGCCAACATTTTATTTGTATTGTGTGATGCCTAAGATCAGCCTCTAGCCATCAAATCAAATCAAATCAAATTGTATTGGTCACATGCGCCGAATACAACAGGTGCAGACATTACAGTGAAATGCTTACTTACAGCCCTTAACCAACAGTGCATTTATTTTTAACAAAAAAAGTAAGAATAAAACAACAACAAAAAAAGTGTTGAGAAAAAAAGAGCAGAAGTAAAATAAAGTGACAGTAGGGAGGCTATATATACAAGGGGGGTACCGTTGCAGAGTCAATGTGCGGGGGCACCGGCTAGTTGAGGTAATATGTACATGTGGGTAGAGTTAAAGTGACTATGCATAAATAATTAACAGAGTAGCAGCAGCGTAAAAAGTGCAAATAGTCCGGGTAGCCATGATTAGCTGTTCAGGAGTCTTACGGCTTGGGGGTAGAAGCTGTTGAGAAGTCTTTTGGACCTAGACTTGGCACTCCGGTACCGCTTGCCGTGCGGTAGCAGAGAGAACAGTCTATGACTAATTGTTTAATTAGCCATCTGGTAATCACAGAATACCTCTACAGTCTGGAATAGCAAATCAACTTTTAGGTTTGTTATTTGGTAAAAGAACAGAAAGCATAGTGCTCGCTTACTTAGTTCTACAACACAACCAGTTCTCTCTCTCTCTAGAATCCTGCAACCATTACCAGAATACTTCTTAGTCACTTCAACTGGGACAAAGAGAAGCTCATGGAGAGGTATGTATCTTCTCCTGTTAACATTTTCTGTTTCATTCTGCTTTATCCAAGTTCAAAGATGCTGGTAATGTGTTTTGGCAGAGGTCTTTGTCAAAGCTTGAGTTTTGATCTCACTTTTTCTCTCTCTCTCTCCCTCTCTCCCTTCCTCTCCTCTGTAACCATCCGGTTCCTCCTCTGCAGGTATTTTGATGGCAACGTGGATAAGCTGTTTTCAGAGTGCCACGTCATCAACCCCAGTAAAACGTTGACGACGCGACCAATGAGCACCAGATCCTCTGCTCAGGACCTGCCATGTCAGATCTGCTATCTAAACCACCCTAACTCAGTCAGTATCAATCTAAACCACCCTAACTCAGACAGTATCAATCTAAACCACCCTAACTCAGACAGTATCAATCTAAACCACCCTAACTCAGACAGTATCAATCTAAACCACCCTAACTCAGACAGTATCAATCTAAACCACCCTAACTCAGACAGTATCAATCTAAAACCACCCTAACTCAGACAGTATCAATCTAAACCACCCTAACTCAGACAGTATCAATCTAAACCACCCTAACTCAGACAGTATCAATCTAAACCACCCTAACTCAGACAGTATCAATCTAAACCACCCTAACTCACTCAGTCATATCAATCTAAACCACCCTAACTCAGTCATATCAATCTAAACCACCCTAACTCAGTCATATCAATCTAAACCACCCTAACTCAGACAGTATCAATCTAAACCACCCTAACTCAGACAGTATCAATCTAAACCACCCTAACTCAGACAGTATCAATCTAAACCACCCTAACTCAGACAGTATCAATCTAAACCACCCTAACTCAGTCAGTATCAATCTAAACCACCCTAACTCAGACAGTATCAATCTAAACCACCCTAACTCAGACAGTATCAATCTAAACCACCCTAACTCAGTCAGTACTGTGATCCTCTGTAGCTCAGCTGGTAGAGCACGGCGCTTGTAACGCCAAGGTAGTGGGTTCGATCCCCGGGACCACCCATACACAAAAATGTATGCACGCACGACTGTAAGTCGCTTTGGATAAAAGCGTCTGCTAAATGGCATATTATTATTATTATTATTATTATTATTATTATTATTATTATAGTACTCTCAGATGAAGAGGGTTTTTACATTATAAAGATTTGTTGCTTCTGTTGAGATTGTGGTATGTAAATTTTTTTTTTTAAGCACGTTTGTTATCAGATGTTTCATTTAACTTTCTTGAGGACCAAGGCTCTCACCTGATGCTTCAGTGTTACATCTGTGAGTGTGTTCAGGAGTAGGGCTTGCTAGACCTGGACCAGCGGTTCGAATCCCGCATGGCACGTGAATAGATTGTGGTTGTTCAGTGTAATCTGCAGTACTGAACAGTGTCCTGTTGTCCATGACTCCACAGACAGTGGTACTGGTGCTCACCGACAGGACCTAGCAAGTTATTGGGCTTCCTGTGCGATGGTTCCAGACAATTTATCAATACCACCGACAGGACCTAACAAGTTATTGGGCTTCCTGTGCGATGGTTCCAGACAATTTATCAATACCACCGACAGGACCTAGCAAGTTATTGGGCTTCCTGTGCGATGGTTCCAGACAATTTATCAATACCACCGACAGGACCTAACAAGTTATCAATCCCTATAGGACATCATCATCTAACACGTACGCACACAAAACACGTACGCACACAAAACACGTACGCACACAAAACACGTACGCACACAAAACACGTACGCACACAAAACACGTACGCACACAAAACACGTGCATACAAATTGTGTTGTTTAAGATTAGTCTTGTGTTTCTCAGTTGGCATTAGTAACAGCAAGGTTGTGGGTTCAATTCCTTCAGGGATCACTATCTGTAGTAATGTGTTGTGATTGGGCCTACACTGCTCCGTGCATTGCAACAGTATAGAGTCTGGACCTTTTTAGGGAAGGTTTCTAATGATCTGCTTTCTCCACTTCCTAATCACTAGATTACTACAACTAGGCTGTATTTGGACACAAAGCATTAACGCTGAGGAACAGGAGGCGTTTGAAAAGCGACTGACAGGAGTTGGTCGATCAGGGGCTCGCGTCTCGTGACAGTCCTGGGCTAGGTCGCGGCGTGTTCCACAGCGTCTAACCTGTTATGCACTAGTCTGTGGGTAAACTGTGACCTGACTAACTGATCTACAAATAACAGTGACTACTGAGAGTTATTTATGATCAAGGTGATTTGTAGATCTCTCTTGGTTGCGAATCACCCTGCAATGCTGGGCGGCTGCAATGGAACAAACCCATAATGTCTGTAAGAAAAACAGGTGAGAACCAAACAGGTCCATCAGTTTCTAGAACGGTCTTCTCATCTCCTGAGAGTCAAGGCGTGTACTGTAGTCTGCATCCCAAATAGCACCCTATTCCCTTCATAGTGCACTACTTTTGACCAGGGCCCAGAGGGAATAGGGTGACATTTGGGATGCAGATGAAGCTGTGACAAACGACAACCTCTCTGGTTGGAGACCTGAGGCTCAGCTGTTTGGTGTGGTGGAAGGATTGCCCTCTCTGGTTGGAGACCTGAGGCTCAGCTGTTTGGTGTGGTGGAAGGATTGCCCTCTCTGGTTGGAGACCTGAGGCTCAGCTGTTTGGTGTGGTGGTGTCTATATCTAAAGGAAGGATTGACCCTCTCTGGTTGGAGACCTGAGGCTCAGCTGTTTGGTGTGGTGGTGTCTATATCTAAAGGAAGGATTGCCCTCTCTGGTTGGAGACCTGAGGCTCAGCTGTTTGGTGTGGTGGAAGGATTGCCCTCTCTGGTTGGAGACCTGAGGCTCAGCTGTTGGTTGGTGTGTCTATATCTAAAGGAAGGATGCCCTCTCTGGTTGTGAGACCTGGCTCAGCTTTTGGTGTGGTGGTGTCTATATCTAAAGGAAGGATTGCCCTCTCTGTTGGAGACCTGAGCTCAGCTGTTTGGTGTGGTGGTGTCTAAATCTAAAGGACGGTTTGCCCTCTCTGGTTGAGACCTGAGGCTCAGCTGTTTGGTGTGGTGGTGGTCTATATCTAAGGAAGGATGCCCCTCTGGTTGGAGACCTGAGGCTCAGCTGTTTGGTGTGGTGGTGTCTATATCTAAAGGAAGGATTGCCCTCTCTGGTTGGAGACCTGAGGCTCAGCTGTTTGGTGTGGTGGTGTCTAAATCTAAAGGAAGGATTGCCCTCTCTGGTTGGAGACCTGAGGCTCAGCTGTTTGGTGTGGTGGTGTCTATATCTAAAGGAAGGATTGCCCTCTCTGGTTGGAGACCTGAGGCTCAGCTGTTTGGTGTGGTGGTGTCTATATCTAAAGGAAGGATTGCCCTCTCTGGTTGGAGACCTGAGGCTCAGCGGTTTGGTGTGGTGGTGTCTAAAGGAATGGGTTTCTGTTTTCCACAGTATTTCACTGGCCTGGAGTGTGGACACAAGTTCTGCATGCAGTGCTGGGGAGATTACCTGACGACCAAAATCATGGAGGAGGGGATGGGACAGGTACTGACGCGTCCTACAATATCATTCTACATTATCATTCATTATCAACCAGAACTTATGTGTAACTAAATGTGTCATCTCGTTTCAGACCATTTCGTGTCCTGCCCATAGTTGTGATATTTTAGTGGATGACAACTCAGTCATGTGAGTATTCTACATTCTAGAACATAGTAGACTGAACATTCTAGAACATAGTAGACTGAACATTCTAGAACATAGTAGACTGAACATTCTAGAACATAGTAGACTGAACATTCTAGAACAGAGTAGACTGTATTGACGATATGACTGTTAATCTGTAGCGTCTTGATCCAGGGGGCAGATCTAAGGCTAACTAACAGTAATAGTCTTACCCTATATTACAGTAATAGTCGTACCCTACATTACAGTAATAGTCTTACCCTATATTACAGTAATAGTCTTACCCCACATTACAGTAATAGTCTTACCCTATATTACAGTAATAGTCGTACCCTACATTACAGTAATAGTCTTACCCTATATTACAGTAATAGTCTTACCCCACATTACAGTAATAGTCTTACCCTATATTACAGTAATAGTCTTACCCTACATTACAGTAATAGTCTTACCCCATATTACAGTAATAGTCTTACCCTACATTACAGCTTACCCATATTCAGTATAGTCTTACCCTACTTACAGTAATAGTCTTACCCTACATTACAGTAATAGTCTTACCCTACATTACAGTAATAGTCTTACCCTACATTACAGTAATAGTCTTACCCCATATTACAGTAATAGTCTTACCCTACATTACAGTAATAGTCTTACCCTATATTACAGTAATAGTCTTACCCTATATTACAGTAATAGTCTTACCCAATATTACAGTAATAGTCTTACCCTACATTACAGTAATAGTCTTACCCAATATTACAGTAATAGTTGTACCCTACATTACAGTAATAGTTGTACCCTACATTACAGTAATAGTCGTACCCTACATTACAGTAATAGTCTTACCCTACATTACAGTTATAGTCTTACCCTACATTACAGTTATAGTCTTACCCCACATTACAGTAATAGTCTTACCCCATATTACAGTAATAGTCTTACCATACATTACAGTAATAGTCTTACCCTACATTACAGGAATAGTCGTACCCTATATTACAGTAATAGTCTTACCCCACATTACAGTAATAGTCTTACCCCACATTACAGTAATAGTCTTACCCTACATTACAGTAATAGTCTTACCCTATATTACAGTAATAGTCTTACCCCACATTACAGTAATAGTCTTACCCCATATTACAGTAATAGTCGTACCCTACATTACAGTTATAGTCTTACCCTACATTACAGTAATAGTCGTACCCTACATTACAGTAATAGTCGTACCCTACATTACAGTATAGTCTTACCCCATATTACAGTAATAGTCTTACCCCACATTACAGTAATAGTCTTACCCTATATTACAGTAATAGTCTTACCCTACATTACAGTAATAGTCGTACCCTACATTACAGTTATAGTCTTACCCCATATTACAGTAATAGTCTTACCCCACATTACAGTAATAGTCGTACCCTACATTACAGTAATAGTCTTACCCTACATTACAGTAATAGTCGTACCCTACATTACAGTTATAGTCTTACCCCATATTACAGTAATAGTCTTACCCTACATTACAGTAATAGTCGTACCCTACATTACAGTTATAGTCTTACCCCATATTACAGTAATAGTCTTACCCTACATTACAGTAATAGTCGTACCCTACATTACAGTTATAGTCTTACCCCATATTACAGTAATAGTCTTAACCTACATTACAGTACGTAGCTGATGTGTTGACAGTCAGGTTACAGCAGGCCCGACACCCATACAATATTCATCTAGGCTATGTGGTCATTTACCCACTAGATGGTAGTAATATACACATTTTGCTGACTAAATGCATTTCATGTGAGCTCATGTTCTGTATGTTTGTTTTGTGAACTAGGGGTGTGCAGAGGACTCGGACAAAACCAGTATCGTAATGGATATGGATCATTTTCCGAATATGATTGACACAAGTTTTTTTTGTAATTATCTGTGATCGGAAAAAAGTCATCTGCATCTCTCTTTCACTCAAACAGTGTGAAGAGCTGTGTGCTTCAAACAACTATTGGCTAGTTCTTCTGTCTGTAAAGAAAGGGGCTGGGTATCGGTTGAGCCTGCTGCAACGATTGGATTAGAACAAGCCACTCTCCTCTGCTCTCATTCGCCAGACAGACACGGCTCTGTTTCACTCAGTCACTCGTCTCAGGGCACACGTCTCCACTTCTCCAAACATCCTGTATGAATCAGAATGCGTAGCTAGTCGTTGTTCAATCTAGTTCTATTGTGTGTCTACTTGGCTGAGGCCATATGGTTGTCTGCTTGGCTGAGGCCATATGGTTGGCTACTTGGCTGAGGCCATATGGTTGGCTACTTGGCTGAGGCCATATGGTTGGCTACTTGGCTGAGGCCATATGGTTGGCTACTTGGCTGAGGCCATATGGTTGGCTACTTGGCTGAGGCCATATGGTTGGCTACTTGGCTGAGGCCATATGGTTGTCTACTTGGCTGAGGCCATATGGTTGTCTACTTGGCTGAGGCCATATGGTTGTCTACTTGGCTGAGGCCATATGGTTGTCTGCTTGGCTGAGGCCAAATGGTTGTCTACTTGGCTGAGGCCATATGGTTGGCTACTTGGCTGAGGCCATATGGTTGTCTACTTGGCTGAGGCCATATGGTTGTCTACTTGGCTGAGGCCATATGGTTGTCTGCTTGGCTGAGGCCAAATGGTTGGCTACTTGGCTGAGGCCATATGGTTGGCTACTTGGCTGAGGCCATATGGTTGGCTACTTGGCTGAGGCCATATGGTTGGCTGCTTGGCTGAGGCCATATGGTTGGCTACTTGGCTGAGGCCATATGGTTGTCTACTTGGCTGAGGCCATATGGTTGTCTACTTGGCTGAGGCCATATGGTTGTCTACTTGGCTGAGGCCATATGGTTGTCTACTTGGCTGAGGCCATATGGTTGTCTACTTGGCTGAGGCCATATGGTTGGCTACTTGGCTGAGGCCATATGGTTGGCTACTTGGCTGAGGCCATATGGTTGGCTACTTGGCTGAGGCCATATGGTTGACTACTTGGCTGAGGCCATATGGTTGTCTACTTGGCGTGTTTAGAAGCCTACGGTGTCTGTCAGTATAATTACTGACCTGTTCTCTCCCAGGTATGTTTACCGAGCGACACATCATTAGACAATGAAATGACAAATGTAGATAGTTAATTTTGACTGTACAAATGTTGTGGTGTAAGTGTCAGGAGAGAAGTTTTGCTCCTCTCTAAAGTGAACCAATGGGGAAAAAAAGTATTTGTAATTGGTGGCTGACTAAATACTTTTTTTTCCCCACTGTATGGGTCCAGTGAATGGTCCTACCTTCATCTAAATGTGTCTGGAGTAAATGCAGGCAGTTGTAGCCAGCCATGCATTAGGCTATTTATTAACCTATTTCCTTGATCATTCAATAGGACTAAGTAAGTAAATCATGCATTTTCATCTGTCGGGGTCATTTTAACAATGTGTGAAGGACCATAACGATGCCCTCTGAGTGATGGAGCAGTAATGTTAGTGAAGGACCATAACGATGCCCTCTGAGTGATGGAGCAGTAATGTTAGTGAAGGACCATAACGATGCCCTCTGAGTGATGGAGCAGTAATGTTAGGGAAGGACCATAACGATGCCCTCTGAGTGATGGAGCAGTAATGTTAGTGAAGGACCATAACGATGCCCTCTGAGTGATGGAGCAGTAATGTTAGTGAAGGACCATAACGATGCCCCTCTGAGTGATGGAGTCAGTAATGAGGACCATAACGATGCCCTCTGAGTGATGGAGGGAGCAGTAATGTTAGTGAAGGACCATAACGATGCCCTCTGAGTGATGGAGCAGTAATGTTAGTGAAGGACCATAACGATGCCCTCTGAGTGATGGAGCAGTAATGTTAGTGAAGGACCATAACGATGCCCTCTGAGTGATGGAGCAGTAATGTTAGTGAAGGACCATAACGATGCCCTCTGAGTGATGGAGCAGTAATGTTTAGTGAAGGACCATAACGATGCCCTCTGAGTGATGGAGGCAGTAATGTTAGTGAAGGACCATAACGATGCCCTCTGAGTGATGGAGCAGTGAAGCAGTAAGTTAGTGAAGGACCAATAACGATGCCCCAGCTGAGTGATGGAGCATAATGGTTAGTGAAGGAACGCATAACGATGCCCTCTGAGTGATGGAGCAGTAAATGTTAGTGAAGGACCATAACGATGCCCTCTGAGTGATGGAGCATAATGTTATGAAGGACCATAACGATGCCCTCTGAGTGATGGAGCAGTAAATGTTAGTGAAGGACCATAACGATGCCCTCTGAGTTGATGAGCAGTAATGTTAGTGAAGGACCATACGATGCCCTCTGAGTGATGAGCAGTAAAGTTAGTGAAGGACCATAACGATGCCCTCTGAGTGATGGAGCATAATGTTGAGTGAAGGACCATAACGATGCCCTCTGAGTGATGGAGCAGTAATGTTAGTGAGGACCATAACGATGGCCCCTCTGAGTGATGGAGCAGTAATGTTAGTGAAGGACCATAACGATGCCCTCTGAGTGATGGAGCAGTAATGTTAGTGAAGGACCATAACGATGCCCTCTGAGTGATGGAGCAGTAATGTTAGTGAAGGACCATAACGATGCCCTCTGAGTGATGGAGCAGTAAATGTTAGTGAAGAACATAACGATGCCCTCTGAGTGATGGAGCAGTAATGTTAGTGAAGGACCATAACGATGCCCTCTGAGTGATAGAGCAGTAATGTAGTGAAGGACCATAACGATGCCCTCTGAGTGGATGAGCAGCAGTAATGTTAGTGAAGGACCATAACGATGCCCTCTGAGTGATGGAGCAGTAATGTTAGTGAAGGACCATAACGATCCCTCTGAGT